CGTCACTCTTTTGTACATTGTCTACAAACTGTGACTTAGAAAGCCCCCACTTTTATCTAACCCATTTCTTGTTCGAATTGAAACAAAAAAAAATATAACGTATCTAACATTTTTCTATTAGGTGACTGACGAACTAAATATAATTTATTTTTGTATCCAGGCGTCAACCGTTATTATATGATATACAGCTAGTTGCACAGAAGTCCATTAAAATTTTCATTAGTTTAAAGTGACATTACCCATACAATTTGGCATTCATTAGAGCTTAAAGGCGTCTTTAAACCTTAATGGACGTTTGTGCAACTGACCGATAATGAGCAACAAAGAGAATCGTTTAATTATTACCTTACTAATGATAATTATATAGCGGAAGTAGGTTTTTGTACGTTATTGGTACGTCTGTTACGCTCTCACGCCTAACCCACCAAAAAATAATTGACTTGAGATAGGACATAGTTTGCAATTGAAATGAGTTGAAAATGGGATAAAAGTTTGTATAGAAGTTAGTTTCGTTAGATGCCTTTTTGACACAAGCATGGGACATTATTTTTTATTTTTTATTTTAAGCTTTATTATGTATATTTGTTTCTATTCTACTATGTCCTATATCTATGTTGAATAAATTAATTTGAATTTATTAGGTATAATTTAATATGTATTAGGTTATGTAGTACTAGTCCCCCTTTTTTTAATAATGTAACATAATACAATCAGCGCAAATCTCCTTTCCATCAGTGAAACGATTATATGTTCTTTGATAATAAAGATTCGTGGTAGTTACCGATTACAAAATTCATTAAGAGATTTACACAATCCATTTCTGAATGCTAAGTGTAAGTTTTTTTGATGTTTACGTTCACTGTCGATCGTGAGCGCGTTAAGATTTTAGTATAGAATCCGGTACAGCGCCTCTAGCGGTAACTACCAAGAAGTATAAATCTCCATACAAATTCTTAACGCGCTCACTAGTGAACGCGTTAGCGTAAAACTTACACTTATCACTCTGAGGCCCTAGGTTCGATTACCGGTTGGTCAATCAATCAATCAATCAATCGATCGATCATTTATTGCATAAAAATATGATGTAATAGACGTCATAAAACAAGGGTATCACATATTTACTGTTTGACAGTGTGCAATAGTTTTAGTAGATATATAAATTTACATTTTAATCTATTCATGCATTAACTTTAATATTATTTTATTTGCACATCATTAACTTAAAAACATTTGATTCAGTTCCTATTAAATATTATTTCAGTCTTATAGTTTAAAAATAATTAATAGTAATAATTTCAAAATTCGAATCAATTTATATGTTACAAAAATAATAAGTCAAGTATGCTTAATACATAAATCCATGTCAATTACAAAATAATTTTATCTATGTCATTGTATATAATTTATTTATTGTGTCGTTGTATATAATAATTTATTTATTTATAAGCGACTTTTACTCTACTAAAATTGCTTGCATTCCAAATATGTATCGAGTAAAATGATTTGTTCAGAAGCCACTCCGTCAAAGCTTTTTTAAAAATGTTTCTTTTAATCGGTAAGTCTACTAGTTTCGATGGAAGCTTGTTGAATATATTTATAGCCATATAATATATATTTTGTTTGAATAATGTCAAATAACAATTTTATTTTGTCTGGAACTTCATGGGTCTTTTTTTATCTCTCTGACTTTAGTAAAATATTATGGATTTTTTTTACAAATGAACACAGTTCACAAATATAAATGCAAGGCAAAGGTAATATTTTTAATTCTTTAAACATAGGCTTACAGGAGTCTCGTCTTTTTATACCACATATTGCTCGTATGCGTTTTTTTTGAGCTATAAATAGTCTTTTCGTATCTACGCTATTACCCCATCACCTTACCTCAGTATAGAATTGGACTCAGATTTGGGTGTTATGGTACCTTCATTGTTTCTGATTTCCATAATACACGTGCTTTTGCTACTTAATTTGAAATATCAGCAATGAAATGTGACGTTATCCAATATTTATTTATTACACAAAGTTAAAAAAGGATAAATTCTTGAACCCTAATGCTATTTTTAATAATTCCTCCTCGAACTCGTCGTCGAACGCAGCGCTATCAGGTCACGACGGTCAAAAAAACTTACACTGAGCGCTCTGCACAGAACACGTCTATCTGTGTTCTGTAATTACTTCAATCCCAGATTTGACTTTAATTTTTAGGAAACCTTACACAAAAGGTAAAAATGGGACCCTATTATCAAAACTCCGCTGTCCGTCTGCCACCAGACTGTATATCATGAACCGTGATAACTGGACAGTAGAAATTTTCACAGATGATGTATTTCTGTTCCCGGTATAAAAAAAAAACAAATATTTAAGAGCTCCCATACAAAAAGTGTTTGTTTTTTATTTTTTGCATTTTTACGTTAAACTTCGTGCGCTAATACGCCTCGCATTTGACAGATTTTATCATAACCCTCAAGAATTACAAAAAGTTTCTCAATTGCAATGATGTTTAATCTAACCTTTAAAACTTTTATTTAAAGACTCAAAATTTTTAATCCAATAATATCCAAATATTGTCTTCAAAATGGACACAAATCATTAAAACACATGATGATTATATTGTTGTGTTATAATTAAGATCAGAAAAATATATTAGACACCTACCACGTCTTATTCCAAAGCCAAGTAATTGAATGTTAACCAAATAAGTTCATATATTTCAAATCAATACTTTAATTGTCAGCCGAATCCTCAATTTTGAGGCACGGGTTTATAACCTATAATAAAGCTTGGCTACGAATTAGAAAAATATTAACTTTTAGTCACCCATCAAGTGACCGGCCGTTGAAAAAGTTGCTTAACCTCTACAATCGCAGATCGAACAACTCTGTCTCTGCACCACGAAGTAACAATATGTCATATCTGATTTTATACTTTGTTTAAGCGGTGACTTTTATTGCTAATTCTTTAAGCTTTGATCGGTTCCATAGACTTCTGAAGTCCTATTGAATAAAAGCCCATGTATTTATTTAAAAAATCATCATCGGCCTTATTATCGCCCCTACTATTAGGACACAGTCCTTCACATGAAATGAGCTCGAATGAGAGCTTTAGGAGAGTTTCGCATCGGAAGTTGAAATGCGCTAACCACTACACTATCGAGCCTCGTATCATCAACCACATATCATTATGGTAAAATATCAACAACAATAACTTATTAAGTAGGTATGTACCTCTTTAACATAACAAGTAACAACGTAGACAATATCGCCTAAAAATTGTATGAAAATTTTACACCGTTTGACCTTATTACGGACGGATGCATACACGTTAGTTCGCACCCCAATGTTCAAAGTTAAAAACATCTATTTGAAGTGTTAAAGGCGTGAATTATCGTTTCATTGAACGTTGGCTCACCCCTCGTGTAAATATAGACCGCGAAGCGCACCGAACCACCCGTGTAGGTTTTACACCCGATTAGCCGTGTTACGTACACCCTCGCGAGCACACCGTTACTTTATACTCTGTCTGATCTTCCAGTACATAAGTGTTACTAACATGACCGATTGACCAATCACTTTCCTGACTGAAACTATAAAAGAGTTCTAATATCAAATAAAAACAATTACTAGACAATATATTTTGATTAAACAAAAGAGTTCGTATATGAGGCTCAGAAATAACGTTTACAAATAGTATTAAAAAAATCAGAATGAAATTTCAAATATAGAACGTTCTATTTTTTTGTTTTTCTGCTGTAATGGTGGATGATGTGAAATGCGTGTATTGGGGCATGGAGTGAGTGGCGTCTGACCGTCGGGCCGCTCCGGTAGGAAGCTGCGCCTCTTAATATTGTAAACAAGAGCTTTTTCGATTGGTGGGCGTTACCGCGCACGCGTCGCACGCTGTGAGCTTGCACTAGCGTACAAATAATATATTTTAAAATTATACTATAAAAGTGGTGTCAGAGAAACGTAAAAATGTTATGTAACTAACTAAAAAAGTGAAAAAATATAATTCACGACTTAAATTTGTAACGTAACTTACAATACGCTACGGCGTAGCACGTAGTCAAAGTAACACTCCAATCGTTCCACGTGATGTAATTGTATTTTGTTACGGAATCTTTTTTTATGAAATGACAATGAAAAGATGGTGAACTAAGATTATTGAACGAAGATTTCATTATATTATCATAACAATTCTTGTCTTGAGTATAATGATATATTCCAGCCAACGTAAAAATTATCAAATTGATTGCTACAATAAGGTAACACTGTAGCTCTGAAAGCTCATCTCGGGAGATGAAATCGATCGGCGGCGTAGTGTTCGCCGTAACAAGGTCCGTTGTGAGGGCGGCGCGGCGGGCGGCGGCACGCGCTCACATGCGCCGGCTCTCGGGCGGGGGCGGCCCCGGTATTGCCAGCTTATTGTTCTGAATCCAATATTTTATATATTTTTAAATTTATAAAACAAATTCTATTATATAAGAAATTATATATATTAGATCAATTTTTGCATTCGCAATGCTATACTGAAAAATATGCATAATTAAAAATGCTTAAATAATCCACTTGGCTTATACCTAATATTTCTAATATTTATAATACTATGTCACGAGCTTTCTACATTTTTCATAACAGTGCCATTACTGATCATTAAAGTGGCAAAATTAATATAAAAACTCTCTACCTAATTACTTAAAATCGAGTGAGATTATCGCAAAAGTTATATAATATATAAATAATATATTCTTTTCCATGACCGCTACAAGTTTACTACTATGACCGCTACTATGACTTCTTTGACGGTTAGCTTTATTACCAAAAGCAATTTCCTTCAGATATCAGCTGCAGCTAAATTTGAGCCAGTATATAAAGATATGAAACTAATGTATAAATATTTACCTCGTTGAGGATGGAGTTTTCCTGGTACGATAGCTAGTAATACTGGGCGGGGCGGTGTGGTGGGGAGGGGGGGCGCGTGCGCGCTGGGCCCGGGGCGCGGGCGGCAGACGCGCCGCGATGGTGGGCCGCGACAGCCGCTCGGAGAGCGCGGCGCGCCCTTTGGCGCCGCGGCATGAGTAGCGCGCCCGCCCGGCCCGGCCCGCGCGCCCGCCATGGCGCAGGCCGCGCCCGCGCCCCATCGCACCCACTCCTTCGCGAAGAAGACCTTCCACAAGCCCACGTACTGCCACCACTGCTCCGATCTGCTGTGGGGCCTCATCGGGCAGGGCTACGGGTGCGAAGGTACGCGTCGCGCATGCGTCCCGAGTGCGTCGATACCGGCTCCGCGCGTCCGCCGCCGGCACGACCAGCGTTATGCAACCCGGGTCCGGCATCCGGCGACCGGCCCGGGTGTGACCGGCCTCTGATCGATACCACCGACTCCGGTCCTGATGTGGAGTCTTCGAACACGCCGTACCCTGTTTCCCCTCGACGTGCACTTGAAATTTCAAGGACGCCGAATGACAGCCATGAGTCTTGTATGTACGTTACTCCAAAGATTGGGCTATCGCTGTACTCGGTTATACCAGTGGAGCACGGCAGATGGACAGGCGACCGGAGTCGGGGTCGATATATTCTAAATCAGCTGAAAATATGCGAAGAATAGAGTGAATGTTTAGAGCATAAAGATCGATTTGTTTTGTAAGAGGTTTTTGGTGGCGGAGGCGCGGGCGGGGTTCGACATGCACCCCCGATGTCCTTATAACTAAGTTAGATGTTGTGCTCATGTTTCCACTGGTAAGTGACGCCTAGTGATCTGTTATAGAAAGAGAGCAATGGACTAACATCGATGCGTTAAGTTCGGACCTACAGGAGGACATCTTGTTTTTGCGCATTTGTTTTGATCCTTCGCGCTGTCGTTTCGAGTCGATACTTGTCGGTCAAATTATTGTAGGCATCGGTGGAGTTTGTTCACGTAATCTATCAAAAATATCGTGTTTTTCTCTAATGCGCAGGACGTGTGCGGTGAAACAGTGTTTCGTTATTGCTATTAAAACTATAGGATCGATATGCTTTGATACTGAAAAGCGTTTGGTTCTAATGTACGCTTAAACATGAAAATCAAATAACGGTCATAGCTCTGAAATTTTGGCGTACACTCTGGTAAATCTGCACAAAAACACAAGCAAAATCGTAACACGACACGCAACATTAAAATTTCAATTTATCACGATATTTTCCAAGAAAACTAGAACCATCAATAAATCGTGACTAAATTAAAATGAAGATCAACTCTCACATAAAATTACTACTCAGTAACTTGACGCATAACTTACAAGGCGAAGACATGATTCTGTAATAAAACTTCGCTCTCGAATTCAATTCCCCTAATAATTTAAAATAATTATCGTTTAAAGTATTTGCTTCAAGCAGAATTCGAACTAACCAAACTGAAACAGACGTCTTCCAATATTAAACTACTGAAAATTAAACGTGCGAATTAATTTGATCAACATTATCCTGTTTTAGTTAATTTATGGGAAATTCATCACGTAATTTTTTTAATTATATATTGTTACCCCATTTTGAAATGGTTAGAAATGCTCTTATTTTAATCTACATGGATTTTTTCATTTCAAGAAAACTTTGTTTTTTTTTTAAGTATTTATCAGCCAAAACAATGTCCTGTTGTGCTATTATGTTATAAAAACAGCCTTAAACACATCGCCGAACGCAACGAGCACAGTTATATATTAAGATTATATGTGTCCAATCGAATAAAACTTACTTCAAAAGGTAATAAATTATATTTCATAATGTATAAATCATAATTCATGTGACTTTTTTGAAGTCTTTCTCTCTAACTATAAAAAAAAATAATATGTTGGCCAACTTTTCTTCGAACATTTTTTCATGCTATTCATATACTTCTTATCCATCTATCCATGGGTTGTCATCTATTGATTTACGAGGTTGCACTGCACTCGATTAGCAAATTCAATCTCATTCTGTGACACGTTTGTTCCAACGTAATTCGAAATTTTGCATACTATTTTTATGATAATTTAATTTTTTTTTTTAAACGATTCTATTGCTGTTTTTTACATTATGAATGACAAAGCAATATTTAACTTTTTAATTTCATTCTGTTTAGTTGTTTACAGTTTGAATCTTCTTCCAAATAATTGGATCTTTTATCACCCTGACGGACATAGGAGAAATTCATACTAACCTCAAATGTATGAACACTGTTTTTAAGATATAGTGATAAGTACTGCGAAAACAGATCACCAACTTCGCTACAAAGATTATCTATTGAAGTCGCGATACTTGAAAGTTCCTCCTTGAAGCACATATTCACAGCAGATTGTTCCTACGACACTGATTTGCAATTCCTTCTTAGTATTTTATTTAGAAGAACAACCTGTTTCCGATCTTCTGCAGCGGTCGCCATCGTTCTTTTTTGCGTGGATTGACGATTGACTCTTCAGATGTCGATGTGAAATTTTACATCGATATCTGCAGAGAGAGAGAGAGAGAGAGAACCTCGGTGGCCTAGTGGATATACGGCTGGTCATAGGATGGGTGCCTAAAAATGTATTATGTCGAGCTCCTCCGTGCTTCGAAAGGCACGTTAAGCCGTTGATCTCAGCTGAATCTGCAGTCGTTAATACCAACCAATCCGTGGGTCATAGCCCATCCTCCCTATTCGATTTTATTCGATAGCATCCATGTATTTATGAATGCTTGAGCCCCAACTGTAAGAACATTAGTGAGGCTGGTGCTGATCTTCAAAGATATCTGGATTTACTGTTGAAATGCCAACACCAAACTTACCGGGTAGAGAAATATTGGTGTTTGTACTAAGAAATAAAGCATAGTTTTATCACCGTAAGAGTCCCACTGTCACGGTGTTTTCAATGTAAAAAAATCTATATTTCAATGTAAAAACGAAGTCAAAAGTGTGAACTTCGGTTTGGAAGGTGAAAGAATTTTTAAAACAGTCCAATAGTTGCGGTACCTATTAATACAAACAGACCAACATAAAATTAAACTTATATGTACATAAAATTATATGTACTAAAATATTATTATCAAGAGGAGAGCTCTTGATAATAATATTTTAGTACATATAGACACCAAAAACATATAAAAAAAAGTTCTCATGTTATTGCAAAATACTCAAATAACATTCAAATGTGTTTATTTTTAGTAAGTATATATTTAAAAGAAAACTGATACCTAAGTAAGCACATAAAATGTGTATTATAAATTTTTTAAATGAAACAACTTTTGAACGGTTTCATCGCTTAATTTGTATTTATAGTTTTAGTTTCGGACCCTTTACAGGTTCCGTGATAGAACTAAAAAAAACTAAAGAGTGCGTATGAAAATATAAGAAATCAATAAGCATACCTTTTTTTTCGTATGTACTTAATTTATATGTTATTCAAGCTGCCGTGAAAAATTTAGGCCATTTTGGAAAGGGCCGTTCATCGGATATGTGACCAAAAATTAATTAGCTCGAGCTCCTCTGGTCCTGTTGCTTATTTGTCTAATTTCAAAATCCGTCTCTGTCCCTTTCAAAGGTACTATTTATATATTAAGTAACGTTCAAAGTCGCAATCGGAACGAATAAGGATTTTAATGATCATGGGAGATAATAAAAACTCGGTAACTTAAAGTAATATTTATGTCTAACGCTTGCTCTAGATAATTTCAATTAACGTCAAATAAACTATATCGTTAATTCAAAATACTTCAAAAGAGCATCGCTATTGCAATCGTAATCACGTCCCATCACATCTTTTCATTTTATTAAGACAGAGCTACATCCGACACAGCTATAGTTTTTCTTAAAATATGGTTACTAAATAATACAATTATATAGAAAACTTGTTATAATCAACATTGAAATATAAAAATATACCTACGTTCTGTAATAGAGTCACGTTTGAACTAAATATATATATATTTTTTTAAATTGATAACGTTGAATGTTCAAATATGCTATTATTTTCCTTATACAAATTAACGGTGGCAATGAAATGTAATTCTATTTACACCTTTTCATTAAATAACACGTAGTATATAAATCAATTAAAATTAACTTCTCCATTTTTCAAAAACGTGAATTTATGTGATATTACGTTAAGAAAGCACGCGTAAGTAAATAATTAAGTCCGCCATTTGTACACTTGTATTTGTGCAAAAAAGTTTAAATAAATAAATAAGTCGACAATCGATGTAAGTTTTCCCAATATTTTCAGCAATAATTGTCATAATTCAGTAAGATCTGTGTAAAATCTTTAATAATTTACCTTACAATAAGGCATAAGACATGTAACCGACCTAATGAGCTGCATTTGTAGCTTTTCCACTAATCGGAGATAAACAAAATGTAATCTGAATTAACGATTACTGACACAGTTAACATTGAATACATAGGTTACACAGAAAGTTTTTGGAATAGGCGACTTTAAAAATTTATTAAAAAATACAAAAAAAGAATACTTCACCTGATTATCAGTAAGGAAGTTTAAAAAAAAATTCGTTCCCGAAATCAAACTAGATCGTTACAGTGTTTTCTTGATTTCTCCATGACAACCCTTCCTTCCTTTCATGTATAAAAGTAAATTAGTTTTCAAAACTCAATAAACAACTCATATTCTATTTGTACTTTTTCGTATTTGTATTGATATCTAAGGTTCGAAATTTGCAAATTTCAGTCTTTTTTAAATATTTTAGTTAAAAGGAACAGAAATAACAACTTGGTCTATTCGTTTCCTTCAAAAATCAACTTTTGGTAGAGTCGCCATCTGCTTTCATTTTCTTAAAATACTTCCTCGTTCTTTTCAATTGCAGTGCCAATTTAACAACTGTATTATTACAATAAAACGGACATAAGTCAGGATTTACATTGCATGTTTTTTTTTACTATTTCAAGAGTAATTTGACAGCTCAGCAGAGTCTTCAATCTGCTTTTGACGAAAAAGCACAATGCAAGACGACTTTTATAGTTGGTTTAAAAAATTCAGACACTTCTTTAGCCAAAGGCATGGACCAAATATAGTCAATCCTGTACAAACATTTGAGTGTGAGAAAGATGTGTTTTCGATGGATCCTACACTATTTTACTGATTCTCAAAGATCCGGTCCCTTATTTTGAGAATGCTATGTTTGCCAGATACAACGAAGGGGCTTCAATGGAGATGATGAGTGGGTAAAACAAAAAGAAATTCTATTTAGTCCGTCAGTCAGATAATAGATAAATATTAGATACGTATTTCTTTTACTTCAAT